ATTATATATATATATATATATATATATATATATATATTATAATAATACTAATAATAAATTATCTAGCAAATAAAACGAAAGCACTTTATCCACTATTATATATATATACATATATATTTATAGAGAGAGAGAGATTCAATATAATGCATATATAAAAGCCTTGATATTTGTTGACATACGTTTGGTTGTCTGATAAAGTGATTGTGCTCTTCGCCACATCTATGTTTGCTTCAGGTCCGGTTATGACAATTCGTTCATTTTCTGATTTTACAGTACTCAATTCGTCTCCTTTTTCGAACGATGATTTTTCGACACACAAATCCAACAACTCGGCGGAAGAATCAGTGACAGTTTTGTCAAAATTTGTTCTATAAAAAACTTAATATCAGTAAAAACTTCATTTCTATAAGCAACTAAACGTCTCTATTTCAATTTTACTTGAATGAATTCTAATTTAACTCATGAGCGGCTCAAGACAGAACTATTGAATATAATAATCTATGATAGCACTAACATTTCTAATTTATCTGATGCAGGGTCATTTTCAGTTGCATTTGGATTTTCCGCGACAACCAAAAATGGCACTACTTCGTTCACAGCAGATTTGTTCTGATTAAGTGGGCTTCGACCTGACTGAGCTGGCACTTGAAATGTTGTTACCGGGAAATCTTCCGATTCCTTTGTTTTAACTTCCGAAACCTCCGAATTAAAATTAACTCTGGCTTTTACACTGCTTTGTTTCACATTCTTTTTGATATTAAGTTTCGAAGCATTAGCATCATAGATCACCGGATGTGAGATTATTCCACTAGTCTAGAAGTTCGAACTTTCAACACCACATGACACTTTTTGAAAATCATTTTCAGACACAAAATACTTTATTTTATTTTTTTAATATCAAAAAGAATGCGTTATCAGTCACCAAAACACCATAAAATCTGAACTAACCACGTTTTCTGCTTCATCTCGCTGTTTTTCGAGCGACCGATTAAAGTTACGAATTTTGCAAATTGCAATCTCACCATCTTCATCCTCCCCTGCGCATGCACAATTTAGCTTTTCTTTTGACATGAAATAATCGGCATCAAACGGAACCGTAATCTGAACAGAATCATGTCAACTAGTTTGGAAGAGACGAAAAACCACATTCTCTGGGTACAAATTTGAATGTTGCTGAGACTGAAACATAATCAAATTATTTCAACACTTGAAATTTCAAAAAACGCAATTCATTTGTTCGAAAGATGAGCAGATTTGGTGAAACACGGTAACAAATTATAGTAACCTCTTCACCACGTTCAATATCTTCAGCTGCTATACCGATGATATGAAGTCTTCCATTTAAAAAAAAGTGACGTAATGAGATGTTTGGTCGACATGACATTCGTGCGAAACGTGCATTGGTTCCAAAATTACGAGCATCGATACAGATAGGAATAGATTCATTTGCACCTTCAGGTACCAAGTCACTAAAAAAATCACAATTTGATTATATAATTGTAACTGAATAAACACTTCGAAACATGGATGCATACTGAAATATTTTGCTAAAACAAAAATCCTTAATTTTGGGACATCCCTATGATTAAAAGGAATTTTGAAATAAACCTTTATCAAATTTTGTCTATGACATCCAATTTCTTTTTCTAAATTTTTTTCTACATTGCTGTCATCGTCACCCTCCCTAAACTCACATCTCTGTATCTTAATTAATACCACTTTTTGAATGTTTCACTTTTTCCACTTATTAATGAATTAAAAAACTAAAGTTGAAGAATTCACCTATACAATGTAACGAAAGGAATAATAGTCCCTGGATTTTTCCTACCAACACATTCACTTGGAAGCGACACACGTCCACACACATATATAACAGCTTCGCCGTTCACGTATGATCTAGTAGAAACTAGTCCCATTGAAACAGTTGTGACATACATGACACTTACACCGGCACCACTGCGCAGTGCTTCTAACGTAGCAAAATCACCCTGAATGTGAACTAATTTATAATCAGAAGTTTCGTATTCATTTATACCAGTCATACTAGTGAACTGGTATTTTCGTCACAAAAGTTTTAAGCGTGAATTATAAACTAAACAGAAATCTACATGTTCATAAGCTGAAATAAAAAAGGCACCGTATCTTTGTGCTTTCGCGTAAATGCCAAAACAGATCTTGTATATTCATACTTGAAGCTTTCAATATAACCTTTTGATAAGCTCTTAGACTCTTTGTTTGTTTCAGTCTGAAAATATCGAAAAATGATATCGATAATTTTTAAGGATCGAAACTTCTGATTATAAATTTTTCTTCCCTCAACCGCACTTGAGGAATCAACTTTTTAAAGCAAATCCAAAGAAAAGAAACTTAGATTAAGTTATACCCACATGCAAATGAGCAAGTTTTTTAAACATAATCTTATGAACTAACCATTTTTCTCGTATAACTTCTCTTTGTTTTCTGACGAATTTCTTTCTCCTTTTCCCTACGCTGCTCAGCAAGCACTTTTAATTGAATCTGCCGTGCTTGAGTTTTACTAAGTTTCAGTACTCGTGGGCTACACTCCTCACATTTATAGACTTCAGGAACGCGACGCCGACAAATACCCATACATTTACCATGCTGCCATACACTTCAACCAGAATTGTTAGAAATAGTCAAGCTTTAGCAGTTAAGTTACTAGAAAACTACTGAAAAACAATGTAATACTGACAATGCATGATGAATCCACAGAACTCCCGATGAGAAAACAGAAACAAGGACATGTGTCGCTTTTATAAGAGACACGCTTTGTCATTATTACATCGCGCCAATACTTGATTGGGCATCATTATGTACCATTCATAGGCAATTATGAATAGACAGTATACATACAAAACTTCAATTAGCTGTCATAAAATATGCATAATCAAATTAACCGATCTGAAAATTAAGTGATAAAGATGGAGGCGAAACGTTTCAATAGCTCACTTGCATACATCGCACTGTATCATAAAATCGTCATCATGACTAAGACCACAATAACATCGAGTAATGTCAGCTTCTTTAGCGATTTCTATACTTTTGTCTGACAACACATCCTTTACTTCCGTTTCTCTAATATGTATATCTTCACCTCCAATATTTTTCTTTTTGGTATCAGCTACAAAATGTCAGTGACAAAGGAAATCAAAGAGACTACTAAATAAATGTGTGCATAAATGTGTATATATAAATGTATATGTACACAAAAACTTGGAAATATGATAATTTTACTACACCTTCTACATCAATCTTTTCATTATCATTGCTAAATGTAGAACTTGATGGGACAAAAGTTTGCTGCTCCAAGTCTTTTGAGCACGATCCATCAGAAACAAATGGGCAATTTTTACCAGGTAAGACATTAACTGAAAAATTCTACCAAAAGAGTTGAAAGTGGCAAGAAAAATATTCTTTCAAAAGAATCACCTTCTGAGAAAAAATTCAAAAAAAGAAACACTTATAAATGATTATGAAGTTCCAAATAAAACTCTGCAAAAGCTATGAAATTGTCCACTTTAATTTACCACTTCCTGATATTCTAAAAAAGATAACGGCAGAATATTGCGGTACCTGAGCTATTCTGAAATGTATAATTCTTTCTTCTCTCTTCAGCTGAACATGAGGGAAATTCCGGAACATCTGCTATTGGTAAGTCGGAGACTGTCTGGAATTCCCAGTCATAGTCTCGAGCCAGAGCACTTGGTATTTGTTCCCGATGTCGTGAATCAACTCCCTGGATAGTTCAAAAGATATAACAAGTCAAAAACAGAAAAATTCCCTTGAATGCAGAAAGTGATCGAAAGAGCAAAACCTTATGCAAGGGAAAAACTTTACATAATGGTTAATAATATCAAAAGCAAAATAGCAGGACTCAGAAATAAACGCATATTTCTGATAATAAGATGGTGAATAAACAGATATTAAGCTTTCAAGGACTTGACAAGATATTTTCCTAATCAAAATCTTGTCTTCTATCAACGGAAAAATATCCGAGCACATGCTACTGCACATTTATTTACAAAAATGAAAACATGATCTCAAAAATTAAAAAGGACGTGCTTATATTATGAACAAACCTTTGTGTATTTTTGATAACGTCCTCTAACATATCTTGCAACATCAAAACGTGAACGTTGAATAAAAGCATCATCCGACTCTGCATATGGTCTTAAGTCACGTATAGCTTCTTGTTCAGTAATATCTTGATACTAGAATTTGATCCAAATTAAAGAAAAATCAGAGAAAAGTAGTTGACAATAATATAATATTGATTATATACTATGCTAGCAGATATGAATATAGAAACTACCATATTTAGCTCATTAGTTACCTGACAAAATATCTCTTCATCTTCAGCCTCTAAATTACTTTTAACAGATGCAACATGAGCAATCTTTGGGGAGTATTTTCCAGATAATACCATAGATTTTGTATCTTCTAGTGCACGCTGCAAAAAAAAACCTTAAGATTAGCCCTCGAAATTGATAATGCTCGTATGTAGCTTTTAAAATCTTTCGGCAGTTAGTTCACAAAATTAGATTTTCACATCTTATTTCCACAAATAAAGAAATCTAGTTCAACATCTCGACACGATAGTAACTGCTGGTATTTAAAAAAAACTTTGAAAAATTTATGTTGGAAAACAATGAAAGAAATAAACTGGATAAATTGAAAGTTTAATCTACCTGAGAATCAATATCGACCACTGTTTCTGGATCAAAGGTTTGCGTTTTTCCAGATTCACGTAATGTGCGCACTACAACACATTTTATTCTACTTTAGCGACTTATATGAGCATCATAAACAGTCTGAATAATTTTAAAGTTCGTACCAACAAAGCTTATCCATCATGGAGTGTACTGTCACATCTTTCCCCGTAAAATAAAAAATTCCTGATTAAATTCTCGATTTCTAAGAATTACAATGTTCCGGACTAATTTGAACTTGGATCATCTCCAAATTAAAAATTAAAAGAATTTTAACGCACAGATAAGCTTCTAACAAAAAAAAGTATTTAGCTAGAAATTTACTTTGATTTTTTGCTATAGGGTAGAATCGTCTAGGTGGTACGAATGATGATAGTGCTGAGCCCATATTTATATCTGCAGGGTGAGGAGTGCTTGCGAGATTGCCAGCATTGATTGCTGTTGCATAAGCAGGCACTACTGAAGAAATTGATCTCCTGGTAGGGGTAACTTGCCTCACAGTTTGACGATAGGCTGGTACTGTGATGGACGGACATCTGAACATAAATACAATGCATGTTCAGATGCATAAATTGAACTCCTATTCAAGCCTAATTTTCATTCAAAAACTTTTATAAGTTTGCTAAATGTTTTTCCGAAGAAAATGTTAGAACTTACACTGGTCGAGTAATTTTTCTAATAGGAGGTGCAGATCGTCCAGCTGCTGCACGGCTTCCGATAAAATGGCGCGAACGCAACAACACATCAGTTCTATCAACAAATGATGCTTGAATCTCATCTAAATTAAGATATTCGAAAAAGCTAATTTTATCCAAGGATGCAAGAATGCTTTTCATTCGTCTTAAAAACATATCTGCTTAAAATCTGAACTTCAGACTAATTAAAATCGATTCTTGAAATTTTTCAAGATTTTTTTGAAAGACATATTGGAATTACAGCTAAGAAAAATCAAAAGTATAATTTCATAACAATAAGAAATAAAATCAAAGCGAAGTTTATCACTTACAGAATCTAAGTGACAGTATTTTAAAAAACGACTTAACACAGACCGCTTCAAAAGTTGCATTTATTATAAAGTAGAACTGAGTGTGAAAATTAAATTTAAAAAATCATTTTCAATTGTCTGACGCACAACAGTAAGAGTAATCATGCGGCAACCAACCTCGACGTAAAGGACGATATTGAACTGCAGTGACAGGTGTACGTCGAGAAATTGTCTGCCAGCTGGCTGGAACCGATCTTCTGCATGCAAAAAAATATAAATCAAACTCTAAATTAGGAATTCCTAATAACTAAGAGTCTAGACAGTATCTGATAAGTATAACACTCAATATGCAATTAAAACTTGAGCCTAAATAAAAATAGTGAGGTGAACGATATTTCGTCCGCAAACTTACCCACGAGTGTGAATCATTCGAGGCCCACTTAGAGCTGGAGAACGCATTCTGAAATTACAAAAAGACTAATTACGAATATTTTTTTATGCATTAAAAAATTGTGGTATCTAAACACCGTAATCCAGTCATACTCAATCGTTTTCGAATCTGAATTGTAATCTAAATGAGATTCGCCAACAGGCAAACAATAAAAACATATCTCGAAAAGTACGAAATGATGTACCTTGTCTGATGTACTATAATTTGACTTCCAGAATGATAATTCGAAGGAAATCCTACGTCTTGAACATCCCCTAAGTAAATAAATAACTGTAGATCTGTTTTACATTTTACAAACGTTAACAAATAGCGTCAAGCAGACAAACAAAGAGAGAAATGTACCGATATAAGAAGCAAGGCCACCAATAACTGGAAATTTCTCTACAGGATCACCATCGAAGTTAGCAGGATTTTTAGATCTGGTCCCATAATTATGATCCTACAACTATTTTTTCAAAGAAATTCATATTTTTTGAAATACAGGAAGTTCATTTAATTAATATGTATAAACAGTGAAGATATTTAATTAGAGAAGGTCGTAAGGGAGATAAAGTATAAATATCCTAGCCTCCTCCAGTTTTGACAAACACTTATTCTTATAACAATTCTCCTACATTAAGAGTCAACACTAAACCTAGACTCCACCATCAAATGCATATATATATATATATATATATATATATATATAT